TCCCCATTGCAGTTAGGGATCTTGCAGAGCAGTGCTGGCAGCTACTTCAAAACATAAAACATCAGAGCGCTCGTGGCCAATGTCCTGAATAAAAAAACAATAATGTGCATGACCAGCAGACAATGTAAAACAGTTTAATGGAGCAATAAAAGCAAGAATCACCATCAGGATGTATCCATGAATGGATGTCATACAGGGATCGGTGCAAAACATAGACTGAATCTGGCAGATACTGCACATGCATGCTCAGTGAGTTTCTATGCTGAGCAGCCCATGTGACTATAGAGTTACACATGTGGACATATACACAGTGGTAAATGACAGCTCACTCCGGCCCTCCTCCTTAATGTCCACTAAACAGCTAAACACAATGGAGGTGGAATATTACATCTTGATTGATAGAGAGGCTTCACCTCCCTAATTTTCTAAGGCACAGGCTGGAGGGGTGTGACACAGCCTATGACTGGCAGAAATTCACCCACACCATATTATTGCAAACAAATAATGAAGATTTGATTTCAAATATATATTTGTATGACAATTTAAAACAATTGCTAGATATTAATTATTTATTTTTACTTTGTATCCAAAAGGCTGGGGGTTTTTTTTTTGGACATGTGACCAGCAGCAGAAGACTTGAACCTCCTCCTGCCACTGTTTACCTGCAGACAGACTAGGAAAGAGCTCGGTCATGTGGCAGCTATATATCAATTAGAAAAAAGGGTACTTGTTTTTTTTCTTTTTTTATTAAAATAATTACAGTGCCATCATCCATATACAGAAAGAGACAGGACAGTGTAAATTAAACAGTGTGTGTAGTTACACTGTAATTCTAAATCAAAACATGCACTTAAAGTACAAAAACATATTTTTGTTAGTTACGGATAGATTAGGTAAGGATTGGAACTAGAGATGAGCGAATCGAAGTAGGCGAAGTGGAATTCGTTTCGAATATTAGGAAAATTTCGATTCGCATCGAATCCGAAAATAAGCAGACTTCGGATGCGCGAATCGAAAATTTTTCCTAAAATGGCGGCGACATGTGCGGCGACGGAGCGGGGATGTCTGGGAAGGCGCGCAGACAAGGCGCGCTGACCCATAATGCATTCATTCATGACATGTGATCGCATTAGCCAATCAGCAGCCAGCCAGCCAGCACAGTGTAATGTTTCGAGCTATAAATAGCGGCCATTTTAGAATTCTCCATTTGCCTCCAGTCATTCAACAGAGGCAGACCTGGCTGTATGCAGGGAGAGAGTTAGGGACACAGAAACGTTACTTAGGGACAGAGAAACGTTACTGTTAGGGCCACAAAGAATCGTTACTGAGGGCCATAGAAACGTTACATAGGGCCACAGAATCGTTACTTAGGGCCACAGAAACGTTACATAGGGCCACAGAAACGTTACTTAGGGCCACAGAATCGTTAGTTACTTAGGGCCACAGAAACGTTACTTAGGGCCACAGAATAGGGACACAGACGATACTTACTTATTGTTACTCAGGGACAGACACAGAATTGTTACTGAGGGATACAGAATTGTTACTGAGGGCCACAGAATCGTTACTTACTGAGGGCCACAGAATTGTTACTTAGGGACAGACACAGAATTGTTACTGAGGGCCACAGAATTTGTTACTGAGGGGCCACAGAATCGTTACTTAGGGCCACAGACACTTAGGGCCACAGAATTGTTACTTGAGGGACACAGAATTGTTACTGAGGGCCACAGAATCGTTACTTAGGGCCACAGAATTGTTACTTAGGGACAGACACAGAATTGTTTTACTGAGGGACACAGATTTGTTACTGAGGGCCACAGAACGTTACTTAGGGCCACAGAAACGTTACTTAGGGCCACAGAATTGTTACTTAGGGACAGACACAGAATTGGACTGAGGGACACAGATTGTGTTACTGAGGGCCACAGAATCGTTACTTAGGGCCACAGAATTGTTACTTAGGGACAGACACAGAATTGTTATTGAGGGACACAGAATTGTTACTGAGGGCCACAGAAACGTTACTTAGGGCCACAGAAACGTTACTTAGGGCCCACAGAATTGTTACTTAGGGACAGACACAGAATTGTTACTGAGGGACACAGAATTTGTTACTGAGGGCCACAGAACGTTACTTAGGGCCACAGAATCGTTACTTAGGGCCACAGAATTGTTACTTAGGGACAGACACAGAATTGTTACTGAGGGACACAGAATTGTTACTGAGGGCCACAGAAACGTTACTTAGGGCCACAGAAACTTACATAGGGGCCACAGAAACGTTACTTAGGGCCACAGAAATTGTTACTTATAGGGACAGAATTGTTACAGGGACACACAGAATTGTTACTGAGGGCCACAGAATTGTTACTGAGGGCCACAGAACCGTTACTTAGGGCCACAGAACCGTTACTTAGGGCCACAGAAACGTTACTTAGGGACAGACACAGAATTGTTACTTAGGGCCACAGTTACTTAGGGACAGTTACTTAGGGCCACAGAATTGTTACTGAGGGCCACAGAATCGTTACTTAGGGCCACAGAAACGTTACTTAGGGCCACAGAAATTTACTTAGGGCCACAGAAACGTTACTTAGGGCCACAGTTACTGAAACGAATACTTAGGGCCACAGAAACGTTACTTAGGGCCACAGAATCGTTACTTAGGGCCACAGAATTGTTACTTAGGGACAGACACAGAATTGTTACTGAGGGCCCACAGAATTGTTACTGAGGGCCACAGAACCGTTAGAGGCCACTTAGGGCCACAGAAACGTTACTTAGGGCCACAGCCACAGAAACGTTACTTAGGGCCACAGAAACGTTACTTAGGGCTACAGAAACGTTACTTAGGGCCACAGAATCGTTACTTAGGCCACAGAATCGTTACTTAGGGACACAGAAACGTTACTTAGGGCCACAGAAACTTTACTTAGGGCCACAAAATTGTTTACTTAGGGACAGACACAGAATTGTTACTAGAGGATACAGAATTGTTACTGAGGGACACAGAACCGTTACTTAGGGCCACAGAAACGTTACTTAGGGCCACAGAAACGTTACTTAGGGCCACAGAATCGTTACTTAGGGCCACAGAAACGTTACTTAGGGCCACAGAAACGTTACTTAGGGCCACAGAATTGTTACTACAGGGAGCAGACACAGAATTGTTCAGGGACAGACACAGAATTGTTACTCAGGGGACACAGAATTGTTACTGAGGGACACAGAATTGTTACTGAGGGACAGAACTGTTACATAGGGAAAAATTGTACTACACAGATTTTTGGACAGGACACAGAATTGTTACTCAGGGACAGACACAGAATTGTTACTGAGGGACACAGAATTGTTACTGAGGGACACAGAATTGTTACTGGGGCCACAGAACTGTTACTTAGGGCCACAGAAACGTTACTCAGGGACACAGAATTGTTAATCAGGGACAGACACAGAATTGTTACTTCAGGGACAAAAAACACAGAATTGTTACTCAGGGACACAGAATTGTTACTAGGGACACAGAAAACGTTTACTTAGGGACACAGAATTGTTACTGAGGGACCACAGAATTGTTACTCAGGGACAGACACAGAATTGTTACTCAGGGACAGACACAGGATTGTTACTGAGGGACACAGAATTGTTACTGAGGGCCACAGAACTGTTACTTAGGGCCACAGAAACGTTACTCAGGGACACAGAATTGTTACTCAGGGACAGACACAGAATTGTTACTGAGGGACAGACAGGGCCACAGAATTGTTACTGAGGGACACAGAATTGTTACTGAGGGACACAGAATTGTTACTGGGGGCCACAGAACTGTTACTTAGGGCCACAGAAACGTTACTCAGGGACACAGAATTGTTAATCAGGGACAGACACAGAAGAATTCTTACTCAGAATTGGACAGGGACACAGAATTGTTACTCAGGGACACAGAATTGTTACTGAGGGACAGACAGAATTGTTACTGAGGGCCACAGAATCGTTACTTAGGGCAACAGAAACGTTACTTAGGGCAACAGAAACGTTACTTAGGGACACAGAATTGTTACTCAGGGACAAACACAGAATTGTTACTCAGGGACAGACACAGAATTGTTACTCAGGGGGACACAGAATTGTTACTGAGGGACACAGAATTGTTTACTGAGGGACACAGAATTGTTACTGAGGACACAGAATTGTTACTCAGGGACACAGAATTGTTACTCAGGAGGACAGACACAGAATTGTTACTGAGGGGACACAGAATTGTTACTGAGGGACACAGAATTGTTACTGAGGGCCACAGAACTGTTACTAGGGCCACAGAAACGTTACTCAGGGACACAGAATTGTTACTCAGGGACAGACACAGAATTGTTACTCAGGGACACAGAATCGTTGAATTAAAGAGTATGTCAGACAACATGCAGAGGAGTGGCAGAGGAGGCAATGTTTTAGGAGCGAGCAGGACGTGGCAGCAGAGGAAGGGGTCGAGGGCAGCACTCAGGGTTTCGCAGCCAGAGGCCAGTGCTCCCGGTGTCACCCCAGTACAGTGAGGAAGAAGCTAACAGAGGGCGGTCAGGAACGGGGGGGAGACATCCGCCTCTTCAGCAGCCAGGCGAAGAAGTAGTGGCGAGGAGAGTGGCTCGGTAGCCGGTCTAGAGACAGGTCTGTCTCCTGACCCACACGCAGCCGAGGGGGCTAGTAGTGAGGCGGAGACCCTAATTGATGATGATGAGGCTGATCGCACTTGGCAGCCTCGTCGTCATCAGAAACTATCCCACTTCCGACAGCAACCGTTAGTATAACATCAGGCTATTTGCTTCCGTCTCCTCATCATGAGAAGCAGGGTGGCACGGGCTTGGCAGCGAGCAAAACAGTCGGTGGGTTGTTGTCTCCATCATTGCCACACTCTGCCATGTGCCACTATCAGGTCTCCTCACACACTGCTAAGGTGTGTTCCATTTTTTGTCATAGGGTGCTGGCAGATTACGGGGCCTCCCCATAGCTGCTGCCAGGCCCCTAATCTGCCATGGGCCCCCTGTACCACCTCATGTGCTCTCCCTCATGCAGGGTCCCAGGTCCACAGTGTCCTCATGCCATGTGCCCACTTTCAGGTCTCCTCACACTGCTGGTGTTGTTCCATATTTTTTTGTCATAGGGTGCTGGCAGATTACGGGCCTCCTACCTTAGCTGCTGCCAGGCCCCTAATCTGCCATGGGCCCCATGATACCCGCCTCCTCCTGCTAGCAAAGTAACCAGAGTCTCTCATGGGTCCCCTGTACAAGTTTTGTTCTAATCTGCCTCCCATACGCCTGTCTGCTGTCTCCATACCGCCACACTCTGCCATGTGCCACTTTCAGGTCTCCTCACACACTGCTTGTTGTGTTCCATTTTTTGTCATAGGGTGCCTGGCAGATTACGGGCCTCCCATAGCTGCTGCAGGCCCCTAATCTGCCATGGGCCCCTGTACCGCCTCCTCATGCTGCTGTCCCAGGTTCCACAGTGTCATCGCACTTGCCATGTGCCACTTTCAGGTCTCCTCACACTGCTGGTGTGTTCCATTTTTTGTCATAGGGTGCTGGCAGATTACGGCCTCCCATAGCTGCTGCCAGGCCACCCCTCACGCAATCTGCCATGGGCCCCTATACCGCCTGATAGCCCCTCATGCTGCTGCAAAGCGTCCAGAGTCTCTCATAGGGTCCCTGTACGGCCTCCCATTGCTGCCATCAGCCTCCATCGCCACAACTCTGCCAATGTGCCACTTTCCGGTCTCCTCACATAACTGCTGGTGTGTTCCGACCGCTTCCATTTTTTGTCATAGGGTGCTGGCAGATTACAGTAGGGCCTCCCATAGCTGCTGCCAGGCCCCTAATCCTGCCATGGGCCCCTGTACCGCCTCCTCATGACTGCTGCCATGCCCGGCGCTCAGGTCCACAATGTCTCATGCCATGTGTCATCGCCACACTTCAGGTCTCCTCACACACACTGCTGGTGGTTTCATTTTTGACATATGGTGCTGGCAGATTACGGGCCTCCTATAGCTGCTGCCAGGCACCCCTAATCTGCCATGGGCCCCTATACCGCGCTCCTCATGCTGCTGCCAGGTCCAGAGTCTCTCAGGGTCCCTGTAACCGGCCATCCCATTGCTGCTAGGTCTATCCATCGCCACACACTGCCATGGTTCCACTTTTCAGGTCTCCTCGACACACTGCTGGCCGTTGATTTTTTTGACATAGGGTTGCTGGCAGATTACGGGCCTCCCATTGCTGCTGCCCACCCCCCCGTAATCTGCTATGGGCCCCCGTACCGACTCCTCATGCTGTGACGTTGCAAACAAGGTGGAATTCAACCCTACATATGTTAGACCTCCCCCCTTATAACGAACAGCAAAGATGGCCACTCCCTTCAAAATCACAGATTTCCTGATGTTGAAAAAGCGGATAAAGGTTACCCCTCGCCCCTGTGGTAACTTAGATGTCAGCCATTGGCAGCTCATCGCGTGACACTCTGCGCGTTGCTCAGGCCCTTTGAGGAGGCCACGCTATTCGTGACTTCGTGCAGGACTATGGGATGACGGCCGACGTCATTCCTCTGTTGCACGTCCTGGAACAAATGCTGTATAAACAATCGGCTGGTCAGGGTGCGGTAGACGTGGCGCACACAGATCTCAACGCCACAATGAACACCCTGTGGGGGCAGGACAGGAAGAAGAGGAGGAGGTAGTCAACAGGGAGGACATTGGTGCTCAGGAATTATTGAGTGAAATGGGTGGTTTTTCCACTCACACCGCGGAACAGGAGTGAGAGAGCAGGAGCATCTGGTAGAGGAGGAGGAAGAGGTAGACAGAGGACCCCCAGACGCACCGTGGCAGTATGCTTGTGGAGATGGTTACATGGCAGGGAGTCCCTCGCATTCCTTGGCAACAAATGGCCCATAGCCATGGCTCGCTTATACTTGCGCCTAAACCGACAGCTGAGCCGAATAATAACTCATCAGACAGAGGGATGACTTGTTGGCTGTCCACCTTGTTGGACCGCTTACGCTACAGTTTCAAAAATGGTGGCCTTTTTCACACCTGCTGAGAGGGAGGCCAAAATAACGTACTATAAAAACCACCTATGTACAGTCAGCTGGTCTCTGCCTGTCTGCGCCAACGTCCATCCTTCAGACACTGTGGGCCCCTGTGCGCAGCTCGCGTTTTCCGCTGCCATGGCAGCAGGGTAGGGGGTGGGTAGGTGTAGGAGCAGTGGCAGCTCCATCCAGCAGCAGCTGCCTCAGTCTGCAGTCAGTCGATGATGAGTAGCTTTCTTACACCAGCGCAGTGAGGAAACTACTAACCAGCCGCAGCAGCAGCAGCATTAGCAGCAGCATCAGGTGGACCTGGAGCAGGAGCTCTCAAACAACAGGCTTGGGCCTACTTGGACAGCACCCTGCCAACCGATGCAGTAGACAACAATCCCCTTGACTACAGGGGCAACGAAACTTGACCTTTGGCCCCAACTAGCTGAATTTTTGCCCTTGAAAGGCTGTCATGGCCGGCCAGTAGCGTGGCATCGGAGCGCGTGTTTAGTGCGGCAGGAGTATTGCAACTCCGCGGAGGACACGACTGTCCACACAACCAAAGTGTGGAGAGAACTCACGTTTGTGTGAAAATGAATCAGGCGTGGATTAGTCTGGATTTCAAACCACCAGTTCCTGACACAACTGACTAAATCCGCCATGAATCATGCCCCAAACATGTGCCCACTTTCAGGTCTCCTCACACTGCTGGTGTGTTTCCATTTTTTGTTCATAGGGTGCTGGCAGATTACGGGCCTCCCATAGCTGCTGCTCAGCCCCTAATCTGCCATGGGCCCCTATAACACCGCCTCCTCATATGCTGCTGCCAAGTCCAGAGTCTCTCATGGGTCCCTGTACGGCCTCCCATTGCTGCTGTCTCCATCGCCACACTCTGCCATGTGCCACTTTCAGGTCTCCTCACACTGCTGGTGGGTTTCCATTTTTTTGTCATAGGGTGCTGGGCAGATTACGGGCCTCCCATAGCTGCTGCCAGGCCCCTAATCTGCCATGGGCCCCTATAAATAACCGCCTCCTCATGCTGCTGCCCAGGTGCCAGAGTCTCTCATGGGTCCCTGTACGGCCTCCCATTGCTGCAGTCTCTCCATCGCCACACACTCTGCCAGCCATGTGCCACTTTCAGGCTCCTCACACTGCTGGTGGGTTCCATTTTTTATCATACAGGGTGCTGGCAGATTACTGGGCCCCTCCCATAGCTGCTGCCAGGCCCCTAATCTGCCATGAGGGCCCCCGTACCGACTCCTCATGCTGCTGCCACGAGGCCCAGTAATCTGTCCCATGGGCCCCTGTTTGTCGCTTGTTGGCATAATTCCGCTCGTTCAGACATGCTCCTTCTCCTGCTAACTCCTCTTCACGGATTCCGTCAGCAGTCTTTTCTTGAGGAATTCTATCTCCAGAATGCAAAGTGTCTCAGCTGTGAATGGAGGAGGAGTGATAAATAGCAGGATCTGTTTGGTCTCTCCCATCTCTGCTACAGCCCTGGATAGAAGTAAAAACTCAACAGAGGTTTTATTCTTTCCCATTTCTGGGGCTGGATGTTTTAAATTGGTTGTATTACTTTCTTAAAGAACATATAAACCCAACATTTCATGTTTCTGACATGTGCTTGCTGTGTACCATGTACTTGTATGAAAAAATATCCTGTTCTCTCTTTGTATTGCTACCTTTATGTGAAATCACTGGTGTTCCTAACAGTCCCTCTATTTTTCTATTGAAAACTGACCATACTAGGCATGAGAGCACAGTGTGGCCAGTTCTCTAGCTGTGTTGGGAACTCAGCCTGCACTACGCCAATGATCATACCTTGACCTGCCCCCTCCTGCACTGCACAACCATTCATTGGGAAGATTGATGTGCTGCTGTCTCTCCTCTTCGAACTCTCTTAAGATCCTTATGCAGCTGAGAGCAGAGGGTATGTGGTCACTTATACAAAGTGGAGAAAAAGGATAATGTTATTTTATATCTATACACAAATTTTTTCCTTTTAATCCCCTGGCAGGAGGCTGGGCATGGTGACCAGGGCAACCCTCAAATGCAGCAGATCATGGGGGGAGGTGTACACGTGTCATGTGGAAGATGGATTGAGGAAGGCTGGACTGAGGAGTCTAGAGGGGACCCCCAAGAAGCCTACCTACAGGCAAGTCGCTGGAGAGGAGGATCTCCACTGCCTCAACGTCTCCTGGGGAGAACAGTCTGTGCAGCAGGAAGGAGCCAACCCCGCATAAGGCCTGTAGGCAACCACCAACCCACTAAGCTACCAGTAAAGGACAGTGTGAGTACTCTACTACGGCCAATGGGCCCAGATAAGGGGGAGAGAACACTCAGGTGTAACACCCAGCTAGCTTCTCATCTGGGACTGTGGGACTGTTCAATCGGCAGATCTTGGGCCCCCTTGCTCAGGGATACCCTCAGGCAGCTGGATGAAGAGAAGGAATCATCAGGGTCTGTCAAGGTACACCTAAGAGCCTTTAGTGCTCTTCAAGAAAAGACTTTTATTTAATTTGAATCTTTTGTACATAGTTGCTAAGTTAGTGATGCGCCGAACACCCCCCCCCCCCCCCTGTTTGGTTCATGATCGAACATTCAAACCATGAACTTCAAACAGAAGGGACAATTCACTAGCATGCAGCCCAACAGGTCAGGAAAGGAGGGGACAAGCAATCGCCCCCACCCCTCCTGAACCACACCAGGCCACATGTCCTCAACATGGGGGGATGCTTTGGGGCAAATCACGTTGTCCCCATGTTGATGAGGGCAAGGGCCTCTTCCCCACAACTGTGGCTGTGGTCAGGAGCATTGGTTTGGCCAATCACAATACACTGTGCTCTGACAGTGCATTGTGATTGGCCAAACCAATGCACCTGACCACAGCCACAGTTGTGGGGCGCAGGGCCAGCATGCGAACAGCCCGCCGAACGACCTTAACCGTTCATGTGTTCACCGATGTTCAAGTCAAACTTACGTCGACTCGAACATCATGTCCATGTCCATGTACAGTTCCTTGGCATCCTATATACCCCTAGCCCCTGAGTTTACCCCTCAATAAAATCGCAAACCAAGCTCCAGGACTGTTTACTGACTCCAGTGTGCAAAGTGTAGGAAATGCGTGTTGCCTGGCCATGCGGAGCTTAGGGAACCCAAAACAAAACCAGCGGCCCTTACGAGGGTAGTTCTACACCTGCTACAGGACATGGTAAAAGAAAACAAATATTGGTAGGACACAATCTAGTGAGAGAGAGGGGTTTGGGGTAAATCTGTGGCATTGCTAAACAAAAGCAGATCTAGTAGACATGCTGTTAAAAAAACACAAGTGCAGGAACCAGTGGTAGATTAAATGTACCAGGGACCCAAAGGGCTCGTTCACACTTGACTATTTTCCAACGCTTGCCAAATGCCCCTATAGTGTTAGACAGGCGTTTGGGATTTTTTAATGCTCCTCAAATGCTCTCTAAAATGCCCTATACGCATTTTTGAGGTGTTTTGAGGTGTTTGCCAAGCATTAAAACCGCACCACAAACGCCTATAATGAAGTTCAATGGTATTAACATTCCGCAAAGGCTTTGCAAATGCCCTGCAAATGCTTGCCAGGCATTTGAGGAGCATCACCATAGACTTGAATGGGAGGCTTCAACTCCTCCTGACTTGACATGAGGAGTCAATTTTGCCACAACTCGACATTAACGCTTCAGTGTGAACAGCACTGTGTGCTGCCATGTGTAGAATTTTCATAGGGTGTTTGAGGAGCTATAAAAACACTTCCCAAAGCCTGTCTAACACCTGCTAACAAAGCTAGTGTGAACGTAGCCTGAGACATTCTTGCACCCCTGGCCAGTTTAGTTAGGTCATAGGGTCAGTGTACACATAAATTTGTACTTTGCTTCTTCTGACATGGATTTGTGAAACATTTCCGCAAGATTTGGAATACAGTGTTTGCATTTCGAATTGAATATTATGCAGTGGTAGTGGACTCTTTGCAAATTACCCCTATGGTGGTTGCAGATAATAATAGCAATGCTTCTACATATGGAGAGTGTGGATAAACATTGTGTATGATCATTTAATAATCTTTAAAGCAGCATTAAACCCAAAAGCAAACATTTATTACAATGCAGCTTACCAGTTCTTAGATGTGATGACTGCATTAGTTTTCTTTTTTTAGCCTTTCTTTCCTTTATTTTCACCTAGTGATCCTGCCAGTAAGTCTGTTGTTTTTCAGCAGAACAAGCTCTCTTGCAAATATAGTGTTGAGAGAAACCAATTACTACTGACAGGGGTTCTTACAATGATCAGCTTTCATTTATTTATGTAAAACCTTTATTCCAAAAGGAAAAGACTGTTGCTGTCTCTGCTTGTAAAGTCTGACCTGGAGTTCAGCTTCAGTTTGTTGGTGTATCTAAATCTGCTAGTACATCTAATACTACACCAAGAAAAACATTGCTGCTGTACACTGGTGTCTCTGTTGCACTTTCATCCAGAGTGGGGCAATGTAATACAGACACTGTTTTATCAGCCAGATCAGCAGGTGAAAGCAGAGGAGAAAAGGCCTAAAAAAAAAGAAAACTAATGCAGTCAGCACATCTAATGACTGATAAGCTGCAATATGTTACATTTTTGGTTTTGGATGTAGGCTTGGTTTACATATATGCATTTTGGGTTTGAGTTGCTTTCTCCCGTGCTTTTTGCAGTTTGTTTTGCGTTTTTCTAGATGCTTTCCTGACGCATTTTTGATGCAGATTTTTTTTCTCTCTCTGTTAAAAAGGAATTTTTTTTGTTGCTGGGCAGAATAAAAATGCAAAAGGCAAAACGCAGCAAAATCACACTACCATGAATTTCAGCAGCTTCTTCACTGAACTTGATGCTTTTTGCTTTTAAAATAGTCCCTGACCCTTTTCAAAAACGCTCAAAAAAGCATAGATGTGAACATGCTCCATAGGAATGGACTGTAGTGCGTTTCTGTCTAAAAAAGCACTAAAAAACGCATTGGTGTGAACGGCCTTGATACCGCTTCAATAAAAGCATTATTAAGAGCAATTCAAATGTTGCTATTGTTGATCATCTACCGAGTTAAAAAAGTTCAAAGACTTGCAATGCTAAAATGGACTTGCTGGAGTGCAGAAATATACCTACCAACCAGGGGCGGACTGACAACTCATGGGGCCCCCGGGCAATAGGGGAACATGAGGCCCCCTGTGTCCTTTGCCAAACTCAAAAAAAGCCTATGAAAAAGGTACCAGGGGCATCTCTTGGGGCCCCCTACTGACCCCGGGCCCTCGGGCAGTGCCCGAGTTTCCAAATGGTCAGGTCAGTCCGCCCCTGCTACCAACTTTCTGGGAGAAAGTGAGACACCTGGGACACCTGGATGAGAAAAAGAGACCTCTTTCAGCTCAAAAAAACTGTAGGGAAAGGACACACCCCTGTGAGACTCCCCAGTTACACTAACCGTGAAGAATTAAAACGCAAAAAAATGAAGTGGGCAAACTCAGTCGTTTTCTTACTTATTAACCACTTCAAGTTCAGACACTTTTACCCCCTTTCTGCCCAGGCCAATTTTCAGCTTCCAGCGCTATCACACTTTGAATGACAAATTGCGCGGGCATGCAACACTGTACCATATTAATTTTTTAGCATTCGAGACAGATAAAACTTTAATTTGGTGGTATTTATTCACCACTGGGATTTTTATTTTTTTTTGCTATATAAATGAAAAATTCCAAAAATTTGGGGAAAAAAGTGTTTTTCTTATAAAATTTTACAAATAAATAATCTTTCTTCATAAATCTTGACCAAAATTTATTGAGTTATCTTTTTAGTAAAAACAAATAACCCAAATTAGTTTATAACCAAAAATTATCATTTTTTAAAAAAATGTTTTTTTACATTTTTATTTTATTTTCTGATATTATTATTTATTATTATTATTATTATTATTATTATTATTACAGTATTTATATAGCGCCAAATTGTTTGCTCAGCGCTTTACAATAGCGAGGGGGACAGAACATGAGCCAATACAGTAACAATACAATACACGAGGGGTTCGAGGGCCCTGCTCCTTGGAGCTTACAATCTAGGAGGGAGGGGATAGTGGTACAGGAGGAAGTGGCTGTGGGGGATGGAGTGGTCGGAGGAGTGGAAGAGATCGCTTGTTAGGTGAGGGTGGGGTAGGCTTCCCTGAAGAGATGGGTTTTCAGGGTGCGCCAGAAGGTGAGGAGGGTAGGTGACAGTCTGATGGATTGAGGTAGGGAGTTCCAGAGGATGGGGGAAGTCCTGGAGAAGTCCTGCAGTCGGGCGTGGGAGGAGGAGACCAGGGAGCTAGAGAGTAGAAGGTCCTGTGAGGAGCGAAGGGCAACGGGTAGGGTGGTATTTGGGTATCAGGTCAGTTAGGTAGTTTGGGGCGGCATTGTGAATGGCTTTGTAGGTCAGAGTTAGTAATTTGAATTTAATGCGTTGGGCAATCGGGAGCCAGTGGAGGGATTGGCAGAGGGGGGTGGCAGATGTGGAGCGGTTGGTGAGGTGGATGAGTCTAGCCGCTGAGTTTAGGATAGACTGGAGTGGGGATAGCGTTTGTTTGGGTAGGCCAGTGAGAAGGGAGTTGCAATAGTCCAGGCATGAGATGATGATGAGGGAGTGTACGAGTTGTTTAGTAGTGTCTGGGGTGAGGAATGTATGTATTTATGTTTTTTTTGTTTTTAACATACTGTCACCCTAGCAGTACAGTGTCACCATAGTGACACTGTACTACTTGTGGGGGGTGATGAAAATTTTTTTTTTTTTTTTACACTCACGAAGGCAGTAAAAGCAATAATTTCTCCTCTCTGGCTGCATTCTTGCAGCCATTGAGAAATACTGTGTGAGCTGTGATTTGTCACAGCTTGTCACATGGTACAAGGCTGTCGTGAATAGCCTTGTACCATGTGATCTCTGTGATCATTCACAGATTTCACTAGTGGTAAGCAATGATATCAGGAAGTGACATGTTGCTTACTACTATTCATGTGATCATTGATTGGCCAATCAGTGATCACATGATCAGGACCTCACACAGAGGTCCCGTACAGCGATCAGTGTTCCGCTGTGTCCGGAGGGAAGCAGGGAATTGGGGAGGACATTTATAAACGGCCACCCGCCCCTGCACTGCTCCCGTCCGGCCCATGTATATAAAGTGGTTGGAAAGGGTGAAGTTTTTTTACCTTTTTTTGAACTGAAGGTAAAAAAAAACTTTCAGTGTGCAGCTCCCACCACAGCCCCACTAATACTTACATGAGACCAATCTCGATCCAGCAATGTGCATGAGAGCAGCGGCTCTCCTGGGTCTCTCCCTCCGCATTGTCTGAGACACAGCAGACAGAGGCAATGGCTCATGCTGTTGTAAATTACAGTCAGTGTGGAGGGAGTGGGGGTGGGACTAACTCATGCTCTGTGTCCTACACACAGGCAACTCGGGAGCGAGCATGCATGAGTGCCCCCAGAGCAAGCAGTTTGTTCTGGAGGCACTCAGCAAGGCAGAGGGGCCAGAGGAGCTGGCGGAGGACTCGAGAAGAGGAGGATCGGGGCTGCTCTGTGCAAAACCATCACACAGAGCAGGTAAGAAGGATGTGTTTATTATTTTAATGAAAAATTCAAACCCTTAGAACCACTGTAGCCTCCCTGGCAATATTCCCGAGTGTAGCTCGGGGTAAAGTTTCAGTACCACAAGCGGTAACCCCGAGCTACACTCGGGCTTACCTTGTGGCGCTGCTCTGCAATCCCTCAGTCACTTACCTTGTCCTGCGCTCACCGCGATGTCCCTCCTGCAGTGTCCCGGCCAATGTAATCTGGCCGATGCCGGCATCTGTCATCTGGGTTCCGTCCCCTGCGAGCGTCGGGACGTACGGGGTCACAGAACGGCAGGAAATTTGAAAATGACAAAAAGTGACATTCACAAAAATCACTAAAATCACATAGTAAAACATTACTGTACCAAACCATTTCACATACATTTTGTCCCGAGTGCTTTGTCCTGTGCCCTGCCTGCATTTTTACTGATCTTTCTCCCTGGAAGCTGAGAAACATCCATGGCGTCCAAAAAGCGTCCCTTTAGGTCAAAAGCTGTTTTAGACCAGCTAGAGAACAGCGATAGTAAATTGGAACTACTTGCAGAATTGAGTGATAATGATTCGTGGGGAAATTCGTCATCAGACACTGAAAACGATTCTGCGGCTTTGCTCAGTAATGTGCGAACTTGGCGCTATATTTCAAATTTCAGTGTTTTTGGTTTGATTATATTATTGAATTAAATGTATTATTATTATATTATTATTTTTTTATGATTATTTATTAAATTATAATTTATGATTTCGTGTTTCAAGTTTTATCCTACCCGGGATGTTTACTAGACTCTTGTTCGGACAGATTTCAGTGAGTTATTCCTAAGAATTACAGGCCTACAATAAAAAAACAACATAGTTCCATGCAAAAAAATGGTACCGCTTTCAGCACCAAAAATCTGAAATAATCATACTGCCAGGGAGGTTAGTCATTGTAATAATTTTTTCATCACTACCTTTTCTCTATACAGGCTATTCAAAATAAAAGATGCAGTAATGTCAAACACTATTTTAAGGACTTTTTCGGTAGGTAAATAGTGTTTTTTGTTGCAAAGATCTAAACATCAGACTAGTTAAAGGAACAACACAAGAGGAAAAAGGGGGAAAGAGAGATTTGATTCCAAAAGTGAGACAGTCCTAACAAATGAGGGACAGTTGGAGATTATGCAGAAGGTTTAGTGTCCCCAATGGGTCTTCCCTAGAGCCTGGGACCTGGACAGCCACCCATTCTACTTTATGATAATTCACCACTGGTTGGAAGATTTCTCACTGAATACACATACTCCTGTGATCCACCCACAGTATATGACCATGTAGCATTAGCATTCTCAAAAAGTAGTACCATAATACCTCCACCATATGCCCAATTTAAAGCAAGAGCATGTGTCCTTGACATTAAATACGCTCCAGAAGCAATGTACTTATCAGGTCCGTACTTTGTATTCAGTTATGCAACATGCTGGACAAATGTAACAGCATTCTTCATATAAGATCCTACATTCCTGAGGATGATATATCAATATGTAAGACGACTTTTAACCACACAAATAATCACAAAAATATGTTAGCTTTGCACAACACAACACACTAATGGCAATCTATTAGGGTGCAAAGTTCCCTGGCTGTACAGTGTTTTAATGGTTAAAACTGTCGAAATATTACATAAAAGAATGAATATTAAAAGTGTAAAACTAGTTCAGTCCAAAGGTATTGGAGGAAATGTTTATTCTTCCCAGGTTTGCAGGGAAGCACAGAAAGGTGTTTTTACAGCAACTTGAAATGTGCAGTTAGATCAAAGATAACTTTGTCAAGATGTAAACAATTTAAAGGGTTGTGGGGGTGACAGTGTAGAATAAAAAAAAAATAAGCATTTAAAAAATATATTCAGTACATCTCTGCAAAACATGTATATTTACTCATGTTTTGGCTCTTTAAAAACACATACGCACAGAAAAATACCAGTTGATTCTGTCAGAAATCCAGTAAATTCCTCATTTCCTGATGGAGTCTTCCACTGCTGAGTTTTCTTCTGCTGGACTACAGAATTCTTCCCCCTCTCCTCAACTCGTTAACATAAAGGGGAGGTGTTCTCCAATCCTAATCTCGATATTTGGTCCATGTCAAAGTATTGAGAGCTGAAGATAACCATGATAGCTAGGCAAACTAATCCCCTCACAGCTATTACCTTTTGTATCACTCAACCCTTCCTCTTGATTGTAAGCTCTAATGAGCAGGACCCTCTGTTTCCTCTTGTACCAATTTGTATTGTAACTGTAATGTCTACTTTCATTTTGTAAAGTGCTGCGCAAACTGTTGGCGCTATATAAATTCTGTATAAAAAAAAACTAGCAGGAGAGGTCAGAAGTAAAAGCCTTCAGGGATAGATTTTATTGCACAGTAACATTGGTCCAGGTGAACCAATATGCAGCAAGTATGCATATACCATACCTGTGGGACTGCTGTGGAAGTGGATAATCACTTTAAAAGCCATTGCTATTCCAGTGATCACCACTATCTTTTGGGTCCCTTGCCAAGCAGTTGCCCTTCTGCATAGTGAACACAGGAAGCGCTATTCACAGAATGTTTCTCAATGAATGCACTGCTTTCTCTGACTGGCCAGTGTAGTGATTGTGACATCACTGCTCCACCTCGTCCAATGAGAAACCAGCATGGCACCCTGAAGACAGGGGCATTTACCTACAGTAGCTTTGACTA